AGCCGTACATAACATGCAGACAAGGGCTAAACACCCCATTTCACCCTCACAGAAATTGGAGCAGAGAAAAACTGACTCCCAGTGATAAGCCTCATCTTCCCAACTCAGGCCCTTTCAAACGCCACCCAGCTGTGGAGGCCCAAGACCCCCACAGTTACCTCTGGCTCCTCATGGTGCTCAATGAGGGCTTTGGGAGGAAGGCCATGTAAGTTGCACAGCGTGGACTTCACCATGATGGGCACATAACCGAGAAACTGCTTAATGACTCCTTTTGAGACTCCATTCACTGCCCAGCTGATGTCGGCCTAAATGAAAAAAATTCCTTAAGAAAAAAGAAAATACCTGGAGCTACAAGAACAAATGAGTGTTTTAAAAGAGGTAGAAGACCAATTCTGGTTACACTCTATTAGGTACCAGCCTTATTCTCAGACATGTACAGTGTGTGAGTCACACACTGTCACCTGCACTCACTGTCAACTTTCCCCGGTAGGTGCTCCTGCGGCCCCGGCATTCGGCTGGATACACGCTGAGCTCTTTGCAGATGCTCCCTTTGGGAACTGTTGGGGGACTGATGACAGCATCCACAATAGTAAGAGAGATACGCTCATCTTTGAAGGCAAATTCAAAGGGAGGTATGGCCTGAAATACAATTCACACTATTAAATAATTGCGTGCATGTCCAAGGCACTTTTCACTAAGATCCTTCCATATCCCATGAGTTTTCTACAAACTTTGTTGCCCATAATGCTAACGTGCCACACCTAAAGAGATTTAAAGCTACGCCCAGTCTTCTCACACCCTCGCTACATACCTAAAACTATAAGGCATTAATTCCCATACCTGAGTGTCTGCCACGTGTCAGATTCTTAGACAGCTCTAGGGAAACGAGTGTGTACAGAACAAAGCTGTCCTCTGAACCAACCACCAGCCTTCTCTATTCCTACCCTGTGCCCTCCACATGCATAGCAACACTAACAAGACAGTTGCTAACAAAGCAGGGATATGGAAGCATCTCCTGGTTCAGGATTGGACACTCTAACGCCACCCCTTATTTTTATTTTTTTAATTATTATTATTCTTTTTTCTTACAGAAAGGCAGGCTGCTACATGCAGTGCCTCATTTGAATGTATCTGGAGTCTTGGAAGCTTGACTAACCTAAGTTCTCCTACAAATGGACCTCGAGAGCTTGTTTGGAGGTTCTAGCAGGGGAGCGCAGCTACTTGTATACCCCTGACTGAAGAACGGTCCTCTCCTCTATCAGGTCGTCCTCTTCCACCCAGCGCGCAGCTTCGGGAGGGACGCACATGGAGCGGTAAGGAAGGGGACACCGGGCCTAGTCAGCCAGATCAGCCGAATCAATCCTGGCGATCAGTGGGATGATAGATGTCGCAGCCAGATTGCCCTCACATCCTCTAACGCCACTCTTTAGTCTGATATTTGTACATTTCATTTCACGGTGGCAAAAGCCATGCAAAAAGGAAGGTGGTGGCCACAGCGGTTTTCTCCCTCGCACAGCGCCTGTTGTTGCACGGAGGAGGGGGCACCAGTGAGCTCTCCTACATACTAACCATGGACAGCCTACTCTCGTTGGGAAGCACAGTGCACACGGGCCATTTCCTCGCCCTCACAGCACTCAGGAACTGTCCTACAAAACCCTACGGTTGCAAGTCCTATATGAATTTGGGAATCACATATACATCCTCCCCTGCTCGACTCGAGCCTGGCACGATCACGGAGCACAAGCACCATTTGAGATTATATTGTGACCTCCCAGTCATCCCACTGGGACCCTGTCCCCAGCCTGTGCCCCACTCACTTTGCCTCCTGAGTTTTCCCGGCCGCCCGCCTCCAGCCCGCGGGGCCCCTCTCTTCCGCCAGTCCGAGCCTGGAGGTGCCGCACTAACCTGCACCGCGTGGCCGAGCCCCTCGCGCACCGCGTAGTTGAAGGACTCAACGTGCGCCTGCGTCAGCTTTTGCAGCGCAGGCTTCTGTTGCGCCCGCGGGACCCCATAACAGGGGTCAGTCAAGTGCTTGAGGCTGGGCCCGGGGGGCAGGTCCCGCCACCGGCCGCAGGAATCCATGTAGCACTCGCACGCCGGACGCCAGCGAAACTCCACAACACCGGAAGGAGGCGCGACGCCCACGGCCTGCTGGGAAATGCTGCTCCACAGCTTCTGCCGGATCTCGGCCCGTCCGCTTTATAGGGTCGACTGGGAAGCGAAACGGTGGAGTAAAAGGGCCGGAGTAAGACTGTACCGAGGCGGAGCCGCCCCGCCCCAATCAGTGTTGCCCTCGGGTTGTTGTCCGCTGCGTAGCCAGACAGGGGGACGGCGGCCTTCCAAGGGCCCCGCGCTCCCTGTGACCGCTTTCTGATCATAGCTGAGGTCCCCTTCCCCCCGGGTAGACCCCAGCCGCGTCATGGCGTCGCCAGAGAGCTGGCTGGCTGCTCTCCACCCGACGCGAGTCGCGAAGGCCCCTCCCCACGTCTTGTGGGCCGGGTGGCCTCCAGGGAGTCTCCAGCCGAAAGATCCTTCGTAGCTGAGTCCTAGGAATCGCCGCCTCCCCACGAGAGGGCTTACCTACCTGCAGACGCCTCAGCTGCATCTGTCGTGTGTCCGTAACGGGGCGCACCGGGTTTGTCCGGGGAGTGGACAGACAGCAGACACGCACCGAAGCTGTACCCATCGGCAGTGTCAGCTGTATGCACGCCCGTGGCGCCATTGCCAGGACTCAGATGAATTAATCCACCAGCCTCGCGGCCCTTGGGAATCCCTCCCTCCCAGCGGTTTCATCTACGTTCCTAAGAGACTGGTCTGTTTGCTTTCTTGGTGATGTCTCTGGTTTTGGCATCAGAGTAGCATCAGTGGCCTCATAGAATGATTTGGGACTGTTCTCTCCTTTTGCATTTCTTGGATTGGTGTTAATTCCTCTTCAAACACCTGGTAATAATGTTCGCCAGTGAAGCTACCTGGTCCTGGGCTTTTCCATTAGGGAAAATTTTTTATAATTAATTCATTTTCTTACTAGGTCTATTCAGATTTTCTTTATCTTCTTGAGTCAGTTTCATTAATTTTGTTCTTTCTAGGAATGTGTGCATTTCATATAGCTTATCTAATTTGTTGGTATACGATGGTTCATCGGATTCCCTATAATCCTTTTCCTTTGTGTGGTAGTAATGTCCCCTCTTTCATTCCTAATTTTAGTAATTTGAGTTCTCAATTTTTTTTTTCTTGGTTATTCTAGCTAAAGTTTTTTCTATTTTGTTGATCTTTTCAAGGCACCAACTTTTGGCCTTTTTGATTTGCTCTATTTTCCTATTCCCTCATCTATCCACCCTGTTATTTATTTCTACTTTTTTTTTTTTTTGGATTGTTCTTTTTCTAGTTTCATAAAGTGGAAGAAACCTAATGGTTATTGACTTGAGATCTTTTTTACTGTAGGCATTTAAAGATATAAATTTACATTTAGCCACAGCATTCCATAAGTTTTGTTATGTTGTGTTTTCATTTATCTCAAAGTACTAATTTCCCTTGTGATTTTTCTTTGATCCATTGTTTATTTAGGACTGTGATTTTTAATTTCTGTGTGTGTGTGTGTGTGTATTATATTTAAAGTTATTTTCTTAGTGGTTGATGTGTCCTGGTGAGGATCTCTTTCAGTCTGTCCTACTTAGAGATTGTTGAATTTCTTACATGCATTTTAATGCTTTTCATCAGAGTGGGAAAGTTTTTGGCCACTATGCCTTCCAGTGTTTCCTGTCTGTTCTCCTCTCTCCTCTTTTTCTAGGGCTCCTATTAACGTGTATGTTGAACACATTCATGTACGCCTCGGGACAGAGCTCTGGAGCACTGTTCCTGTTCTTTCATTCCTTTTTCTTTCTGTTCCTCAGATGGGACATCTCAGTCGACTTCAGATTTGTGATTCCTATTTTTGCCAGCTCAAACCCGATTTTGAACACCTCTACTGGGTTTTTTATTTGCATTGTTTTACTTTTCAATGCTAAAATTTCTACTTGGTTCCATTTAAAACACAATTTCTGTCTCTTTAATGATTCTCTAATGACACATCATTCTCAACCTCAATTAGCTCTTTAAACATATTTTTCATAGCTGAATTAAATTCCTCGGGGAATTTCTGTTGACTGCCTTTTCCTTCTAGGGGCCATACTTTTTTTTTTTCTTTGCATGTCCCATAATTTGTGTTGAAAATTGGAAATTTTATGTAATTGGGTAACTTTGGGAACCAGATGCTCTCCCCTCTCTGGCATTTATTGTTGCAGCTCTGTTTATGTAGTGACTTTCCTGAACTAATCCTGTAAAGCCTGTATTTTTTTTGTTGTGTGTGTTCATGGAAGCCTCTGCTTGGTTAGTTTAGTGGTCAGCTTGTGATTGAACAGATTTCCCTAAATGCCTGGAACCAGCAAGTCACCCCATCTTTGCTGATATGTGTGTGTGTGTGCGTGTGCACGCGCGCACATGCGCGTACATACGCATGTTTGGAGGACACACCTTCATGCGCAGGAAGGCAGCTGACAGCTCTGCCTTAGTCTGTACTTCCTGCTTGTCAGAGGTGAAAGCTGAGGGGACTCAGATTGCCCCCGGTAGGCACACAGCCTTATGCACGTGTGTGGCCTTCTATGTTCTTAGGAATGCATCGAAGCTTTTTAGAACTTCCTATAGACATCTCAGTTAATGAGGGACAATCCGTTGGCTTATGTGTTGGGTAACATGCTGGGTTCAGCCACTGATGGCTGCATCTGGCCTATTTTTGTATCGCCTATGAGCTAAGAATTTTTGCATATTTCTTAAAAGTTGGGGAAGAGACGAAGAAAATGCAACAGAGACCCTGTATGGCTTGCAAAGCCTAGAATATTTACCACTCGGCCCTTCTCAGAAAGTCTGCCTATAGCTGGGTAACAGAATCACGGATTTGGACCACCATTGATATCCTAGGACAGTCAACACCTACACTAAGATGACAGAACCAAATGGGACAAAAGCACTTAAAATATTACTACTTTAATGCTCTAAGCATTTAAACATTCATACAATCACCTTATTTCCAAAGTCATTTCCTCTTAGGTACAGAGTCTGTGTCCAGGATCAGGGCAAGCGTATCACTGGACTTCCTTCACAGCACAACATGCTGTGGGGACTGCCCTGGTGCCCTGTCTTCCTGTTGGAGTCCCCACCACCCACAGTAGGGATGGATCTACCCACTTGGCACAACCTCAACTGTCAAAGAAACACACTTCGTCGCTTCACTGCACTGCAGGTTCTGTGGGTCCTTGGCCCTCCTGGCACCACCACAGAGTCCTAGTCTGTGACAGTTGCCCACGGCGTGAGGGAACGTGGTGCCAGCTGCTCAGGATGCCAGCACATGCCCCACCACATCAGTCAGACACTGAGGCACTTGGATGTCCTGCGCAGGATGGAGTTCATCGTCACCGCAGGAGTTACGTGTGAGGAAGGGCTCTCCTCTCAATAATGAGTTAATAACCTTAACGCATACTTAGCAGATCCATAAATTCCTATCTGTTTACATTTGTTGCCAAGGCTTCACGAATTGTATAAGCAGAAGAAGGCATGTTTGACAGGAAGCAAAGAGAAAACCTGCTTAGACGGCACTTGCTTGTAGCACGAGTACACATGCCAACATCTGGTCATTCTCAGAGAAATGCCTGCCCTTCCAAAAGGAGTTTTTTCAAAAGCCCTAGGCCTTATTTGATTCTTCCAAGGTAATAATAATGTGTTTGTCCTTCCTTGTCAAGCAGCGGTTCAAGGTACCTCAAAGCACACTGATGCCTGAGGTTCTGATTTAATGGTCAGGCCAGGGGAGGGATGGTGTGGACACCAACACTGAGACGCTTCCCAAGTGATGTCAGCGCATGGTCAGCACCGGGACCCTTGGTAACAAGGGTTCTTGAGTCTTCTCCATCTCGCTGTCCTCACTGAAGCCTGTGAGGTAGTCCCAGGTCAGGAACAGTCCTTTCCATGGGACAAGAAACTAAGGCACAGAGAGGTACAGCTTATCTGACACTGAGAACCAAGACTGGAGCAAACACCTCCAGAGAATGATGCCCGCCCCCCGTCCCCAGCAACGGGCGACACGAACTCAGACACGCGTGACAACTGACTGGGCGGTCTGTGCAAGGACTGCCCAGAAGGAACAGTTCTGAGCCACCCACTCCCCGATCAGAAACAGACTCATAAAATAGGTGCTACGTGAAACCACGTGGGGAACGGTGTGCCACTTTCCTTTTAGGGCCTCACTTCCCTCAATTGCACGCTCAGGTGCCTGAGGGGATCCATCTGGGTTCAAGCTTCCTGACATCTGAATGCTCAGCTCTGCCGCCATATCAGCTGGAAAACTCACAAATGTTCCCGTAATTCAGGTCAAAAGATGGTTAGGTGTCTGCATTCACGTGCAATAGTGCTGCGAAAACCTCCATGTCTCCCTTCTGCCTGCCCACACAGATGTAGGACCCAGGATCCCACTCTACATGGGGGTGCACCTTGCCCTGCTCTACTAAGTCCCCAGATACCAGCCCAGCAGCTGCACTGGGCCTCAGGAGTGACCTTCGCCACCGACTGTTCCATCTGCTCTGCATACGGACTTCAGGTCTATACCCTGGGTCACCACCCAGACTTTAGTTTGTAATCCTAGATCCCCATGTGAGCCAACCCAGCTGGGCCTTTCTTCATGTCACCCTGATGTCACGCCCTCACATCCTACAGCCATTGCTGCAATGATCCTATTTTTATCATAATTCCCTTTTTCACTGTAAACTCCCACATCTCATCATGTTTGAGTAGCTGCCACTGGTTTCTTCCTTTTTAAAAACATCTCCCCCCAAGCAGAACTGCCCTTTTGTGCAAGTAGAGTGGATAATGGAGCACACACACAAGAAGGAGCCCACACTGTTTTCCAGGGGAGACACCTGTCCATGGATCTGCTGTGATGCCCAGCACTGTCATATAGGCTGTTCTCAGCTCAGCAAGCACAAGCGGCACCTTGTTCTTCCCACTGCTAGTGACGTGGCCTGGAAAGCCTGCAGCACACCCGTCGACCCAGTAAGTGGAAACCACACCCAACGGAACCATCTGCTGCCCTACAAGATGCTGTGTGGAGCTCTGAAACCACGTCTTTCCCGTCTGGAGACAGCCTCTCCCAGAGACAGAGACTGCTCATTGGAGCAGAGCCCACCCCTCCAGCTCCTGCAGAAGGTGCAAAGACAATGAGATGGTAGGAGCTCCCTGTGCCTGGGCAGTGCCACCTGGGGAGTGGGGAATTCTACCTTCTAAAACCCAGAGGGCTTTTCACACAAGTGAAAATTTAAAAAGTGAACAACAGTGAACTCTGCAGAAGGGCATATAGCTTCTGGTTAAAACAGAGGTAACTGAGAATCATCATATTTCAAGGATACCCAGCTATTAAGTAAAGCAAGACATCGTGCTTCCTCTCTCATGCTTATCTGATGCATACGGCTTGCGGCAAACGTGCTGTTGGGTCTCTAAAACATGCAGAGAGCAGACGGGAGTAGCGTGTGCTGTGTGGGCGCCCAGCTCACGCTAACCCTGACAGGTGACTGACTCGACGACGTCAGGAACGGTGCCCGCACGAAACCTAGGGCTGCCGCTGTGTATCTGTCCACATCGGCACGGACAGCGTGTTGGGGGAGATATGCAGGTACACATTAGCAACCTCCCAACACTTTAGCATCCAACCCCATACAGATGGAAGGCAGCTGGGCACAGCACTAAGGCACGAAGGCTGCAGCAGGTGGAGATGCCAACCAAAGGTTCCCTGGGGCCTAGGAGGAGAGGCCGCTCACCAGGCCACCTAAGGGGAGGAATCTGAGTCTTCGAAGGGTGAGAACATAACACTGCCAAACACCCACGTTTTCCCCTTAGAGGAGCACTCTGCTCTCCCCTTGGGGACATTTGCTGCCGTTTTCACATCTCAACAGCCACACATGCTCCACTGGGAGCCCCAAGCAGCCACTGGGGACATCCCTTTGCTCTCATGCTCTCCTCCATCACACTTTGCCAGCTGCCTGCTTCCCATTTTGGCTTGACCTTGAGCAGTCGTACACCTCTCCTTCCCCTGGAGCAGGACCCCACGCTTGTCACTCCGTCACAGCCTGATGAACGCAGTGGGCAGGCTCTGCTGCTGCTCCGTGGCGTCGGGGGGTGGGAAGACACTGGAAATGGCTAAGTCCACGATGCCCTGGCACAGCTCGGGGTACAGCTTCCTGAAACATGTTTAAAAACATACGGTTGAGGACACTTATCCAAGTGCAAGGGAAAAACTGAAGTTTCTACTACCAGGACCTGCCCTAGAAAGGCCACCTCACGGTCACATCTATATATCTGCTTTCACTGTCTGCCCAGGTACTGCAGGAGGCACTGCAGGAAGACGAAGCATCCCCTTAGCATGTGTTTCTGGAAGCCCTGGTGGTGAACAGACCACTCCTGCTCTGCCGTGAACTGCAGGGAGGAATGTAGGAGCCATTCTGCTGCCTTGGGTGGGGACATGCATAGGGGCAGGCCTCCCCATGGAAAGCATAGGCTCCGTGGGGTTGAGGGGACAGTAGGAAAGACTCCTCGAGGGGAAAGCTAGGCTGAGACCTGGGGAATAAGTGAAGTGAGACAGTGGAGCACAGGGTAGAAGGAGGATGAAGGGGAAGGGAGACAGACACCGGACAATGGGGGCAGGCTGGGCTGAGGATGTGGATGAGTATAGCGCAAGGCTGCAGAGGCAGGGGCCCGGTGCCATGTCCAAGGGTTGGGACTTCATCAGGGGCCATGGAAGCGCCAAAGCGGAGAAGCTAACTGAGGAGGACAACCTCCCACAATGTGTCCTCTGAGGAGCAATGAGGCCCATTTCCCATGGCAACTGTCCCTGTAGCTTCCTGCCGGTTTTGTGGGCAGCTCACAAGGCCAAGCCTGCTTCCTCAGGACTGACTTAAGGCAGGGAAAACCAGGGACTGGTCCAGACAGAAATGAGGTGATGCTCTGGGTCAGATGTGCTCGCCCACCCAACTTGCTCCAGACACATTTGGCACCCAGGTGCCAAGAGCTAAGGACAGGCACCCAGCTTCCCTGACCCAGACAAACAGAGCTCTTAACTGTCCTGCTTTCAATCTCCACCAAGTGCAGGACCCTCGCAACCTGGTTCCTGTCTCCCAATGCCATGGCAACTCCCTGCTGTCGCCCTCCCATCACAGGACCGTCCCCCTAGCCCTGGTCCCTTTTTTCTGCCCCGAGGAAGGTGGTCCTGTGTTCTAGCCTCCTGCAAGGCACTCTGGGAGGAAAGTGCATGGAAACCATGCCTATACTATGTGACTCAGAAGTCCTAAGTCCAGTAGGTCTTTGTCTCCCTGCTGGACATAAGCCCTCCCCCCATCAACTCTGCAGCCCTGCCTCTTCTGTCTAAGGAACAAGTCCCATTGTCAACAGTTTGATGTGGCCCAACCACTCAACCTCCATTCTAAGGAACAGTGACGGCAGGCCTGTGAGGCAGTGATAGTGGTTGGGACTCGGCACATCACCAAGAGTCACACCTGTCCAACATGCCATGTTCAGTGTTTCATGATGCTCATCAGTAAACACTTGGGAAGGCTTTTAACAAAGGGCGTGCCTTAACACAGGCGAGTCAGCTCGTATCTTAGGCGTTTCTGGTACAGGAGGCCACCATGTACTTTGCTCATTTTCCTACAACAAAATGAGTGAGCTGTATTTTAATGTGCAGAATAATGAAAACAGCTCCGTGAATATACTGTTTTCAACTGCCATCATGTCGCCAAATCTACCAACCCTCCCCCTGCCCCTCTTTGAGCACACAAATAGAAAGTTCACGTCCTTCAACACAAGAACAAGACCCACCTGCCTCTCAGTGTGGTTCAGGTCCCTCATGGCTTTCCAGGCCACCTCACAGTAAGTGCCCCGCCTCCAGAAGCCCTCCCTCCTCAAAATCATGCCCCTAAAAGAGAGCCTGGGTTCATTTTCTGCCATGGACTATAGCACAGTATGACTCACACAGCGATTCATTGGGCAGTGTCTGTGCCCTCCAGGGGGCCTCCTTGAGGACACCCCCTTCACGTGACCCCCAACCCTGTGAGAGAGCACCTCGGGTTCCCCAGAAGGCTCCATGGGGAGCACAATGAGCATAGGTCTCAGAAGGACCAACTGCCTTTCGGGATCAAGTCCAAACAACTTTCCCACACATGTAGGGCCTTTCCTGGTGCCGTCCCGGCCCACTCGTCCCCTTCCTTGTCCCTTACTCCAAGACCCTGACACCATGCTCTAGCCAGCCTTCTCTGGAAGGCACAGAAGCTCCCCAGGGAGAGGACACAGGTTCTGTTCATCTGTCCTATCTCACAGAGCCTGGCCCTGAGCAAGGTCCTGCTGGACACTGTGCCCTCTCCTTGAAGGCCCTCCCCTGCCCTGCTGGGCTCATGTCACACTCCCAGCTCCAGCTCCCCTGCTCCCATGCCTCTCAGACCTGCCCAGGGAGCCCTGACCTCCCTGGTTATCACTGCCCTGCTCCGGGAACTTGCTCTCTCCTGTCACACAGGAGGGTCTCCTCTGGAACTCACAGCAACTGCCACCCACCTGAGCACAGCTAGCTGCTCATCATAAATGGGGGTTGGGGACAGGGCAAGCCTCAGCACTGCCCAGTCAGTAGGGTCCTCCCCAGGGACTCCTGTCACACCCTCCCTGGCAGTGGCCACCTTGCTGAGACTGGCCATCCAGCCTCCCACGTCCCAGCCCTGTGGCATCAAGCTTACTGAGCGCAGGCAGGGGCACCGTTGACCTCAATGAGCCAGACCTTCAGCTGCTCATCCACCATGAAGTCGAAGCCAAAGAGCTGGAAGCTGTGGTATGGGAGGTGCCGCGTGCTGATGGCAGGCTCCACGCTTGTGAGGCAGCTCCTGTGGCAGAGGGCACACCGGTCAGGGGCTGAGCCGTGGGGACTGGGCACCATGTGTGCCAACTGCTGGGCTCTGACTTAACCCTCTTTTTTCAAGTTACTGCCAAGTTATTGAGAGATAATTCAGGACAATGCTACTCACAGAGCAGCTTTTAGGGACTCTGCGGCCTCACATGCCTGCACAAGCAGGGGCCCCTCCCAGCTTAGCGTTATCCCCATGGCCCCTGTGAAGATGGCTTTTTCCTTGGGGCTGCTGCTGCGGCCCCATCTGTTTGTAATAAATAAAACGCTGCCGTGTATTTTTTCCGTATGAAAGGAATGACCACCATTCGGTGAAGAGCAGAATTTGCACAAAGAGCTTGGGCTCCTTTATTTCTTTTGCTAGCCCCAGTCCAAATGCCAAACAGTTACTAATTAGGAGATTAAAGACTGACGGGTATTGAAACTAAATGTTGAAACAATTATTATTCACATCAACTGGGGTTTGAAAAAATTGGGGAAAAAAACACAAAATTGAAAATGCTGAAAAAAAGTTGAAAGTGAATCTCAGAAATATGGTAAGTTCCTAAAGTCAGAGGTCAGAGGTCAGAAGTCAGAGGTCAGGCTGCCAAGCCAGAATCTCAGTCAGTGTTTTAACCTTTTTGAGCCATTTAAGAACCAATTGAAATAAGAATTTCTTCCCCCATTCATCTTTACCCTGAACTGGCAGGTCACATATCATGTTTTTTCCCTATCCTATCTCTATACATGAAAGAAAGAGAAGCAGCATGAAAGATTAAAATGTTTTGGGCGGGGCGGATTAAATAAATAAATAAATAAAATGTGTGGGGAAACCTAAGTGACTGTTAACTGTACATAATAATAAAAATAATGTCTCGTGTGTTTAAAATGCATGGAGCATTAGTGGCTATCCAAGTGTCCATGATCCAGTGCCTTCAGGCCCCCTCCTCGGGTCCTTCCTACTACCTCTCCGGCGATACCCAATATTCTGAATTTCGTGTTTATCACTCTTTTGCTTCTTTATTTTAACCATGTAGTACCTTCCTCTAAGTAACGTATCACTGTTTTCCTTGTTTTTCAATTAATATGAACAGGTTCAGTCTGTATCTTGTATACAGCTTGTGTTTATTTATTTTGCTTACAATATATTTGTGTGACTCTAGTAAAAACACCCTTCAGGAAGAAGGTGAAATAAAGACATTCTCAGATGATGGAAAATCAAGAGGACTCATCACCAGGAGAAATGCTCTAAGAGAAACGACGGAGTCTGAAGGGACATGATAGCAGAGGGGAACCGGCCACTTCAGGACTGAAGGATGAGCAGAAGAAATGGCAAATATCTGGGTAAATAAAAGGATTTTTTTCCTTTTATATTTAAATGGGCTTCTTGAAGACAGCATACAGTTTGTCCTTGTATTTTTTTTTTTAATTCAACCTGACGATCTATATATATAAAAAAAGTATGTAACTGTTAATGGCAAAAAATGATAACATTATGTGGTGGAGATGTTGATGTATGTGGATATAATACACATGACAGCTATAACAGACAGGGAGAGTCAAGTGAACTATCAGGTTATAAAGTTTCTGCATTTTATTTGAAGTAGGAAATTACTAACTCTAAGGAGGCTGTGAAATATTAGGTAAGTATATTGTAATCTCTAGAGTCACCACTAAAAAATATATATCTCTCTATATATACACTTATCTATACATAGATAGATGGATATAGCCAAATACTCAACAGGAAAATTAAAATGAAACTCTAAAAAATTTCAAATAATTCAAAAGAAGTCATTTCAAAGGGAGAAATGAAAAGCAAACAAAACCAAAGAGAGAACAGACCAAAAAATAAAATGGTAGAAGTAAATCAAATCAAACCAAGAAGTACATTAAATTTAAATGGTATAAACACCAATTTAAAGACAGAGGTCATGGGGGTGGCTCCACAGTGTAGTGGTTAGCACGTCTGCTTTACACACAGAAGGTCCTGGGTTTGTGCCCCAGGTGGAGACATGAACCATACCCCGGGTGCGCCAGGCCCCCGGTGCTCCAGGCCTTGGGTGCATGCCGTGAGTGTGTGGGAAGAGACACCCAGCCTTCAGAGATCTAGTTCTTAAAGGGAAATGGCAACATCCATAGGTCAGGGACGGAAGTGGGAGGCAGAATTAAAGAGGGGAAAAAGAAAAAAAGACAGAAGTTATGATATTGGATTCAAAACAAAGCAAAAACAAAACTCGACTCTATGTTGTCTACCAGAGCCCACTTTAAATATAGAATATAGAACAGAATACAGGGGATGGAAAGCGACAACTCATCAAAAGAAACCAGGAGGGGCTATATTAATATCAGGCAAAATCAATTTCAAAATAAGAAATATTAGCAGAGATAAAGACAGAAATTATACAATGATTAAGTGGTCAATGGCTGCAAAAGAGATAACAATTCTAAATGTATATGCACCGAACAACAGATCTTCAAAATACACAAAACAAAACTGATAAAACTGAGAGGAGACACAGATAAAGCCACAATTACCCTCGGAGGCTTGGGTGTTTTCCCTCTTAAGCGTGAACAAGCAGAAGAGAAAACCAGCAAGGATGTAAGAGACTTGAACAACACCAGCCTTCGCCTAATCCACATTTCTAGAGCTCTGCCCAACTAGAGCAGAGCAAATATTATTTCTACTGCACTTGAAACTTTCAGGAACACAGAACACACTCTGGGCCATGGAACAAACTTTAACAAATTTTAAAGACATCAAACCATGTAAATCATGTTCTCTGACCATCACAGAATTAAAGTAGGAACCAGTAACAGAAAGATATCTGGAAAATCCCCAACTATTTAGAAATACAGCTAAAGTTTCTAATAAGACATGAGTCAAATATGAAGCTGCAAGAGAAACTAGAAAATACTTTAATAAAATGAAAATGAAAACAAAACATACAAAATCTGGGGTGCAGCTAATGAGTACTTAGAGGGCTAGTGATAGCAGTGAATGCTTATATTTTTAAAAAATGAAATCTCTCAAATAAATGATATAGCTTTTCACAAGGTAGCTTGACAATCAAATTAGACCTCTCCCAAAAGCAGAAAATAAATGAAGAATGCAAATCAAGAAACAACAAAAACAACAGACAAAATCAATAAAGCCAGAAGCTGACTTTTTAAAAGTATATTAATAAAATTGATAAATCTCCAGCAACGTGTCCAAGAAAAATAGAGAACATATAAATTACCAGTATAAGGAAGGAAAACAGTGACATCATTAAAGATCTTATAGCTATGAAAAGGATAATAAAGGAAAAGAACATATAATTTCTGTCCTTAAATTAGACAACTTCGATGGAATAATTCCTGGAAAAGCAGAAACTACCAGAGCATCTTCAAGACACACACGAGCAAAGCAGACAGAAGTGAGTTACCTTATGATCTGTTTGATTTGCAGCAAGACGCTACTTTCCAGGCTGGTGTTCAGAGCACTGGTCAAGTACTGGCTGAACTCGGCGAAGAACATCTCGTTCCCTTCCTCATACTTCCCATAGTTCTTTGAGTATTCTTTCTGAATGCAGTGATTGGTCAAATGGCAGGTTTTATCTTGGAAATTGTCAACATGATAGGGTTCTGACGCAGTGCGCAGCACACCCTCGCGGTAGAGGTAGATGTTGTACAGGTGGTCCACCAAGACCCAACTTCTGTAGGTTAAGGAAAACACTGTTTTACTCACTCCTGCCACAGTTTATCATAACCTGACAGATCAGCCCCATCTGGGACCTTTTCAGTGGGAAGTAGAGGAAGGAGGTGGGTTCTAAAAGATTGGAGGCCAGGCACAACGATTAGCTAAGTTGGGAGCTACGCCTGTAATGACCCAGGTCTCCAGTGACAGGGAGGCTTTGATCCATTAGAAGATGCATCGAAGAGACCCAGTGGGCTGGCTTTTAAGGCTTATCTACAGAACCTCCACTGGCCACACCTGCTCTCTTAGGAGTTTTAAGAGGACTGTCCACCCTGAACATTGGACACCAGCAAGTCCTTGTGAAGTCAGTGGAGGCATTGTCCTCTGAGGAGCAGACCAAGGCCAAGGGTGGGCTGGGCTGAGCAAACACCACATGACCTCCTCCTCTTGCCAGGCCCTTTGCTCACAGAGTTAAAAATCCCAGAACCTGAGGTGCATTCCCGGAATCTTTAAAAAGTGGGACACAAATAAGGCTGTCAGGACATATCCCTTGCCAGTATCTGAATTGTGTGTCCTGTGGGCATCTCTGGGCTTCTCTCATCAGCAAGCCCCATATACTTACACTTTTCTCTCTGGATCCACAAGTCATTTTCATTAAAGAGAACATTAATCTTAGCATGTTTTCTAGAAAGAAAACATGTTGAAAGAAAATTAGAGAACCAGGTACAGAAGCAAGCTCAGTTCCACTGGTGACACGTCAAATGCTCTGACTTTCCTCATGTTCCTGTCACCACGCCCCTCATCACACACAACGGCGCTTTTTTTTTTTTTTCATATTAGTGGTCCAAAGGGACACTGACGCATTACCGGATGTCGAACTTGCGGTGCCCAGGCTCCAGCAGCAGAGGGCGCTCGAGGTACTTCTGGATCACGTGCACCTGGCCTTGCTGGTCTATGAAGTCCAGGAGCTCAGCCGCCTCAGAGGAGATGAGGATGCCCTCACCTGTGGGAATCAAAACAGAAGTTAGTCCGCTCAGCCCAGGGGAAACGCTCTCCATCCGCCATGCCAAGCACGAGGCGCCGAGGGCAGGCAAATGCCGAAAGGAGGCCCCCACGGCCTCGCACTTAACACTGCGTCTTAGGGAAGGGCCAGGAAGGTTACGGCACAGGAGCAGGTGAACCAGGGCAGTCCTCACAGGGTTGTAACAGAAAAAAATGGGCTACCTCCAGACTGTCCGTATTTAAATAAAGGATACGATTTTTTTAACAGCTTTCCCATGGGGTATTTTACATACCATAAATTTTGTCCATTCAAAGTGTGCAAATCAACGCTTTTTAGTATATTTAAGCAACCATCACTACAACCTCATTCTAGAACATGTTCGTCATCTTCCCCAAACCCCAACTCTGTTGGTGATCACTCCCCATTCCTTCCTCACCCTGACCCCTGAAAACCAGTAATCTACTACAGATTTGCCTGTTCCCGATATCCCGTACAAATGGGACAGTATACTCTGTGACCTAAGTGTCTGGCTTCCTTCATTGAGCATTATGTTCTCAAGGTCTGAGCATGGTGTAGCGTGTATCATCGCCTTGTTCCTTTTTATGGCCGAAACACATTCCATTGTATGCTATACCACATTTCACTCATCCATTCACCAACTGGTTGTTTCCGCTGTCGTTTGGCTCTTATGAATATGCTGCTGTGAAGATTTGCACAGAAGTTCTTGTGTGGATGTATATTTTCATTTTTTTCGGGAATATACCTAGGAGTGGCATTGCCAAGTAATATGGTAACTCTACATTTAACTTTAAGGAACCACCAAACTGTTTTCCAAAGCGGATGTGCCATTTTACATTCCCATGGGCGATAGAGGAGTTCCAATTTGTTCACATCTCTGCCAGCACTCGCTGTCATCTGCTTCTTGATTATAGTGGGTGTGATGTGATGCCTCCTTGTGGCTAGGATTTGCATTTCCTTAATGACTATGTTGAATGTGTTTTCATGTGCTTATCGACTACATGTATAACTTCCTTGAAGAGATGTCTATTCAGATTCTTCGCTCAATTCTTATTTGTCCTTTTCTAATTCAGTTACAAGAATTCTTTATGCATTCCAGATGCAGGTGCCATATAAGAGATATGACTTGCTAGTGTCTTCTGTTCTAAGCGGTTCCATTATTGTGTGGACCCCCACCCCAGCCCCATGTCACTCTTAAAGCCCCAACTCCTCCATCCCCACACCACCCTCCCGACAATCACCACTCTGTCCTCCACCTCTATAATTTTGTCACTTCAGAAAGGTCATACAAATAGAATTATACAGCGTGTGATCTCTGAGGATTGGTTTTCTTGGCACAATTCCCTACAGATTCATCCAAGTTGCTGCATTTATCGACAGTTCATTCCCTTTTATTGCCGGGTAGTATTCCGTGGTGTCAGTTCACCAGTTTGCTGAATCATTTACCTTTTGAAGGAATTTGACTTGTTTCCAGTCTGGGGCCATGATAAATAAAGCTGTTGTGAATACACATGTACAGGTTTCATGTGGACATAAAACTCTGAGACAAATGCCCAAGAGTGTGTGACTGCTGGGTTGTGTGGAGGCTACAGGTTTAGTTTTATAAGAAACTGGTAAACATTTTTCAGAGCGGTTGCACCATTTTACAGGCCCCTCCCCCAGTGCTGTGGGAGTGATCCAGTGTCTTCCAACCCTTATGGTGTTTGCTGTTATTACCATGACTCATTGTAGCCGGTTTAACAGGAGTATAGTGATAGCTCATTGTGGTTTTGGTTTGCATTTCCCTAATGGTTAATGATACTGAAAATCTTTTCATTTTCTTATTTTCTATCTGTATGGCCCATTCAATGAAATTGTGCGGTCTCTACAGAATGACCCAGGACACAAGGACAGGGAGCAATTCTCCAGGTGACGGGTGAAGGTTGAACAGGCTCAAAACTGGAGACAGTTTCAAGGTTGGGCCAACTATACCTAGCACATAGTACGTACTAAATATTTGTTTAAGCTGTTCATTCATTTTATTGGTTTTACTCTGTGGCTCCCAACAAGACAAATGTATTCCATTTATGTCCTTAACTCCTAATGGAAAATTTCTTCTTTGCTTGGCATTTTATTTTCTCATTACCTCTCTTTGCTGATGAGCACCATTCTGTGTCTTGTCATGGTAGGGGTCCAGGGATCACCCAGGGGGATCACTGCCATGATTTGATGGGCCCTCTGTCAAGGGCCCTGTCTCACTGCTGAGTCTGACTCTAGTCAAGGCTCCACGCCACAAGGTATCTTTATCGCAGCCATCCCGACTCCAGCCCAAATCCACAGGAAGAATCTGTAACACTGCAGATATCTACTTCCTCTTCCAATCCCCTCCATTTACCATTAGAACCAAGCTGGGGGACAGCAGTTGAGAAGGCGTCACAGTGGGGAGAGAGAAGATGGTGAGGTACCTGGCTCGTAGCAAGAGTCCACCTCCCCCAGTGTCAGGAGGTTCCAGGTCATGCCCTATCTCATGGCTGGTGATAAAGAAGGTGCAGTCCACTGGACCGGGGAGATGGGTGAGCGCCGACAGCCCGATGGTCTTCCCAGGCAACAGAAGCAGATGTAAATTCAAAGTGGAATGATTTTAAGAAGAGCAAATGGCAGTTGCAGAGAGGAACTGTGTTTATCAGCTCAATTCATTTACTGCATTGGGAGCTGCCCACATTTTAAGGCCGAGTTGATATTATAAATCTCATGTCTTCTGTGCGTTCATTCCACACACATTTATTGAGAGCCCATGGGAGCGTGCAGGGATGAACGAGATGGAGGCTCACAGTAGGGTGGGGAGATGGGCAGACAAACAAATATGTATATAGGGCGAGGAAGAGGTTGGTGCAAGGGGGGAAATAAAGCGGCGTGTGGACAGAGGGCGATGGCAGAGAGGCCAGGTTGGGTCCAAAAGACTTCTCCAACAGGGAGACAGGTGAGCCGAGAGACTCAGAAGGTGACCCACGTAAGTGCATCCCAGGAACAGAGACAAATGGGAGGATTTGCAGGACACGAGGCAGGCGGCTATGGAGAGGTGAGCGAGGACAAGAACAAGAGGTGAGATCAGGGACAGGGGCACGTGGAATGGCATGGGCTGCAGCAGGCAGGGGTCCGGAGCCCAGGCTCAGCTAGCGGGGACTGGGACGTCAGAGTCATGCTTTTACAACATGGCTTTGTCTCAGAGGAGGGCTGGCTGGAGTGGGCCCGGCAGTGTCAGAATAGTGAGAGCACCAACTCCGGCTCTCGTGGATGCAGTGGGCAGGGCAGGATGAGGCTTCACTCAGAAGGCATTTGCAGGTAGAGCTAGCAAGGCTCAGTGGTGTGTGTGGTATAGACATAAAGGAAAGAGCTGATGCTGGCTTGGGCCCTGAGACTGGGGACAGGGTGAAAAGTAGGGAGACCTAAAGGCAGGGTGGGGACTGTGGAGGGAAAAGGAGCTTCCTCAGCCAGAGGCTGCACATTCCAAGTGTCCGCTGCTAGATCCGGGGCTCACAGGGAACGATCCCGGCTGGGGACACAGACGGCATGGGCGCCTAGACAAATTTTTGGGACTAGGTCACCAGACACACCATCTGCCTTGGATGACTCAGATTGGAAGAGTCACTCAATATAACATCCAGTGTATGACTGTACAAAGCACAACCTACAGGGTAGGCCAGGGGGACAGCGATGCCAACCTACCTTTGGCACCGGCAGATGACTTTGCGATCCAAATGTTGCCCTCTCCATCCTCTTTCTTTTTGTTGTAAGATGCCAGGAAGACTTCCCTTTCGTCCGTCCTTGGGTTATTGATCGGGGGGTGGACTCCATTCCGTGTGGGGTCAGTGGGGGTCTTGACATTGGTGGGGTAGATCACATAGGACTCGGGGAACCACGTGCAAGACTCGGCCAGTTCTGGGCTTGTCTTGATTAGCCTGGCGGAGGACAAAGGGTCAGCATCCCTCCTTAGTACTGTCACTCAGTTCAGAAAAGCACTGCTTCCCCAGAGCATGTGTGACCAAGGCTGGCTTCCTCATCCCTCTCCAGCTGCCTACACCTGCGCCTTTAAAGGAACGGCCCAGCTGGCTCAAAAGGGACTCATTGTCCAGGTCCTCAGCTCTTTCCTTGCATCTCCAAGGAAACATAATTTGAAAGAATCCTGAGCCAACACCTTTTAACAGGTCTGTTGTGGCTGAAGACAGTGGAGATTGAAGGAAGGGGTTTGGATCTCTAGCAAAAACACGATCTTGGCCTAACTCTCTGGAGAGAAAAGGCTGCGACTTAGGAATCTGAGTAGTCTGAAGACTTATTTTAGTTCATTTCTTGCTTTTATCTGAGCCTGGCTTCAGTGACAGAATAAAGACACAGGACTCCAGTGGCCATAACCAATCATACCTCCTACCCCCAAAATAACAGAACACAATGGAAGTACGTCAGGCCCTGGGCAAGGCACTTGAACAGGAGGTCTCACGAAGGGCTTCCTACCGCATCTGCTCTCCCTTCAGACCCCCAAGGGCAGGCACCAGCATCACATTTCGCAGACCAGGCCCTGGGTCACAGAAGAATGCACTGGCACTGCCCAAGGTCACGCAGCAGTGAGACACAGGCAGGATGTCAGTCCCCAGCTCCCAAGTCCCCTCAGCCCCGGGAGTCAGAGCCTGGGAGGAAGCAAAGACATGTGGTCTTCTCTAAGCTGAGCTCTCGCTTCTCCAGAACTCTTAGCACTAAGCCCGGGTAAAGGTCCACCCACTAAACCCAGTCTGTGAGCAAACGGTAGCAACAATAAAGAAGAAATTTTAAAGTGAGATTTAAAATGAAGCTATTTTAAAGTTCAAGACAACAGAAGTTGAGTGGCTTGAACTCAGACAAAAAACTTACATTTCTGACTCGCTGAATATTAAACTTGATGTGCACCGTCCAACAGGGTGGCCACTAGCCACATGTGGCTTCTGAGTGCTTGAAATATGGCCGAAGTGACTCCAGAATGGAATTTAAAACCTAGTTTCGCTTTAACTTTTAAAACTGAAGCAGTGTTACATAGTCTCCCGTTAAGCACAGCTTTGTTGTCGCAGTGGGAGGACATTTTGCTCTGTCCCCTGCATGACCTAAGACATTTTGCTGCATTGCAGCGTACATGTCAGGGGCACGTGTTGTGTCCAGTATGGCATATAAACACATCACTATTCTACTGGAGGACCACAGACTGATTCAGTCCATGAGATTTTTTCCCATGCCCCGATGAAACATTATAATGTGTTTATTAGGCACAGAGCACAAGTTATAGTGATAGCCTGGAAAATCACAACCAGTGACTAAAGTGAAATGGAATTAAAAAAATGAGTATGGACCCATTTTAAAATGTAAAACAAAGACATACTACTAATGCAGAATTGAATAGAGATGCAGAAGACAGAACTACACAAGAATAGTGAAAGGCAAAAAAGCACCAGAAGAAGGTATGTCACAAATTTACAACGAATGACAATTGCAGTTTGCTGTGGCAGAGTAAAACAAAGTTTGCTGTGTAAAGGAGACATTTTCAGTGAATACATAATGAATTTGATAAGCAGTTTCCTCTCAACAGTGAAAAAGTATCAATAATATTAGTGGCTGAAATCTAAAATAAATATCCAGCAAAAAATGGTTAAACAGATTTTTAATAGGATCTGAGCTCATAAATTCAGTCAGCTATAAAATGGCTTGAATTCTTACACAAGAAAGAAAACCGTTTTAGATGGAAATGTGGTAAAAGAAATTATTTTGAGGAAGAAACTAAAAAAGGTATTTTACAAAAAATGAACAATCTTTAGTTTAGTTTCTCTAAGTAATTGCTCATAGAGTATGAAATTTCTAACAATATTAAAGGCTGATTCAAAATTTGAAAAATTTAAATACTTTTCTTTAGTTTTACATGATTCGTGTGACATAAGAGATGCTGCCCAGTTAACACTTTGGGTATTTTTTGCCTCAAAGGATTTCTAAATATATGAAAAAAATATTGCCAAACTGCAGCCTAAAACACACCAAGCTCGCACTGCAGATACTTTTTAATCTTTTACATCCGTCACAGAAGATTTTCACCTGCAAGCGAAAAATCAGTGTCTGTGGTCATGACAGACAGTACTCCAGCGAGGCTGGGTTAAAAATTGGACTTACTGGGATTTTAAAAGACTGATGTTTCCTTTATTGCTTCATTCTACTGTCTGATACATGTTGGAAACATTTGCACTGTTTTCTGAAGCCCACTCTATGGAGTGTCATGGATACAATTGTTAAAATGGCTCAGTACCCACTTGCAAACGCTACAATGATTTGCCAGTGCAGAACCGCTGCAAGAAACAGAAAAGGAATTTAATGACACTGTGTTCTTGGCTAAGGGTAGTCAGATGGAAGAGTTTTACAAAGACTTCGTGTATGGTTAACTCCAATTTAGGTTTTCTTGAAATAAAAGGAATGCTTGCCAAATCGTTATTTTCATTCATTAATTCATTATTTCACTCAATAATCAAAGGTTAAAAATGGCAGTGTAATTTACATTTTCTCACCTACATCCACGCTGCTATAAACAGGCTAATTTTAAAGCCTGAGGAAGGGGAAAGAAGACCTTATTTATGACCTAGTTAGGCAGGTATGAAAATTTATGTTCCAACCTTATAAGTCACTCATAATGATTTTATATATTTTTATAACACGACTTAATATGCAGAAGATTCTAATTGTAATAGGCAGCAAATTGGCTGCAAAATGAAGAAAAAATTCGATGAACATTTAGTTGACACTGATTAATTTAGTTTCTTTTCAATTTATTCAATATTGTTTTGAATTCGATATTAATACTGCTGAGTTGATACAAGAGTTGGTGAATTAACTTGGACATAATTTTGAAAATAATATGCTTTTGCTTCAAAATCACTTTAGTTCTTCTAATAAAATGAATTTGTTTTGTCAATGTACATGTGAATATTAAAGGAAAAAATTTTTTTTGGTATTCAATTCAGTTACTGGAAAACTTTTATATATGTGGGAATAACTCGGGTATACAAATCTACTTTTCAACCATAAACATTTATGAACTCTAAATACAGAACGAGGGTTTGCAATGAAAATTTGGTGTCTGATTTAAGATATGCTATAAATATAAAATACATACCAGATTTTGAAGACTCACAATGTAAAAAATATATGCAATATGTCGTTAGTTGTTTTTTTACATAATTACATGTCAAAATGATATTTTGGATTATCTGGTTACATAAAACAGATTATTAAAATAAATTGCACCAGTGTGTACTAATTTCAATGCGGCCACTGGGAATTTGCAAAGTGCATGTGGCTCGCATTCTATTTCTGGCGGACAGCGCTGGTCTGCAGGAGGACCTCACTTGGATGCCCTCGCTTCCTCTACAAAACCAAAACCAGTTTCTACAGGAAGTGCTCTGCGTCTGTCTCGTTTCCTCATAAGCCCACTGGGAAAGGAATTGCAAGTGGAGGCTTATTCACATCTATAAGGGAGATGCTCACAAGGGGAAGAGAGAGCCTCTCCAGCCCAGGTGGAAGAAGAGCCCTCAGGGCTCCGAGTCTGCGGCCTCAAGGCCTCAGCAAATTTCTGATACTCCCTGAAGTGACAGCAGGAAGGTGCCTGCCTATAGGGTCCCGTGTCCCTCAGGGAGACACCCAGTCACACGGCCCCTGGGTCCCCTACATGTGGAGAACATCTTGGCCCAGTACTAACCGCTCTAGTTCCAGGCAATCCAGCTGCCCTCTGTGAGCTGCCTTTTAAGGTGACATTTTTAACTCTCCAGAGTCCTTTTGAGCCATACAAAATTATAAGACAGAGACAAGATGACCAAGGGAACCGTCACCTCCTGAAATTATCACAGTCCCTCGCAGGACACCTGAGAGAATAAGGACAACTCCTTATTGCATAAGTCAAGCCATTACAGACTATGTCACATGCTACCAAGGGGCAGATGTGATCACCACCCACTATATAGACGGGACACTGGGGTTAGAGTGGCACTGTCCAGGGTCCCAGAGATGAGACACCCCCTCAGACCTGGTGGTGACTGCAGCCTTGTATTCACTCCACCTCATTACATTTGCTAAATATGAAAATATGGAGAATTTTAATTTTTTACAGCATCCTCTGTCCCTACGTATAAAAGCAAAATTCTACCTTTATCTTTAGAGAAAAACTCATAGTAGAAAAAGACTGAATAAACACTAGAAATTTCTAAATGAATAATCTGGGTGAACGATCAGGTCCCACTTCCACTCCTAATTCTGGAAAGACCCTTGTGTATCTAAACATGTAATGAATGTGTGATAATACCTCAGACAGCCTCGCTCCCTCTATGAGTAGTTAGCTGTTTGTGAAAACCAGGCTGGGAGAGAAGGGACCCAGAGCGACTGTGGCCGGTGAGCTGAACAAACAGGCGGGCATATTCCTAAGGACACCACACCTGGCAAAAGTCTAGAGCCCAGAAAGAAATGCGAGTGGGGGAAGAGCCATACAAATGATTTGTTTGTCTTCCCATCCAAATGATTTGTTTGGCTGCACACCCGTGTCCACTAGCCATGAAAAGGTCACCAGAGACCTTCCATGGCCTGGTTCAGGGGCCACGCTCGCTGTCCCCATGGAAATGGTAACAGTCACTCACTCGGGTGTGGGCAGTGAGGCGGGTACTTTCAGAGCTTTGACCTAACTCAGAGTCCTCGTGACAACCCAGACACCATTACTCTTATTGTCCCTGTTTTACAGAGAGGGGAACTGAGGCACAGAGTCAAATGCTGCCTGTGAGCCCCTGTGCCCCATGTCACCTGCATCCTTACTCAGCACTCACAAGCAGGGCTGAGGGGCATGGGGCCTAGAGGGATGAGGGGTCCGTGCCTAAGTGTGGAAGCAAGAGCTGGGCTTGCAACTCAGCCGCTGAGCCCAGGTCCTCGAGGTGCTTCCTCGCACTCTGTGTGCAGCTCCAGGAGAGGGGCAGTGTGCCTATACCATGATGCCCGCCAGATGTCCTAAGGGGACCCCTGCCGGCTGCGTGACAGTGGTTGCCAAGGGCTTACGTAGGCCCCTGCTCCAGGGACCAGCCCTGCCCCAAGTGTCCCCTGTCTAACCCCCCCACAACCAATGGCTGCAGGTCCTGGGGTGCAGAAGCCCTCCCTGGACATGTCACTGACACTGAGCCCCTGGGGTTCTGCTTTGGGGCCTCGCCTCAGAGATGCATGGGACAGGGGAACAGACAGCAGAGTCAGGACTGTGACCAGAGCAGCTTAGAGGGAGCTCTGGAACCCACACAGGCTGGCTTTTTAAATAGAAGAACGTTTGCCCTTGACAAAGACCCACCCTTCTCTTAAGTGTTTCCAGGTGACAGCTAATACCATTTATGAAAAAAACGAAGGACAGGTTTTAAAGATCACTTACTTTACTAGGGAAGCTTTGCGGCATAGCTTGTCGGCACCTCGATAGTAGTTCACCAACTGCACCAGGCCAGGCTCGTGACCTGTGAAGGAAAGGGAGGCTCGGGAGGGACGGCCAGGGGGCACTTGCTGCAGGAGAGGGAACGGGGGTGTCATGCCTGGCGTCTCTCTGTCAGGATTGGTGGTTAGAGAGGGCACAGTTCAGCACCCTACTGGCACCACCCTCCCTACCTATAGGTACAGACTACACTGTTGCCATCGCAGGGCCCCTGAGCCCACTGCCCGCTCACCTTTGCCTTCCTTCCTAGGGTTGGCCTCCCGTTTCCCCTCCAAACCCCACTGCACCCCTCCTTGGCCACAGGGACATGTGAGTCATCCATGTGCAGTGGGACCTCAGCAGAGGCCCGTTCCTGACACCTCTAGCCTGGCTCCTCACGCTCGAGGGAGGTAGGACTGACACCTCTGATTTCCAGCAGGTGCCTCTGCAGCATATGCAACAGCAGGGGGATGTGAGGTCTCCGAAATCTGAAGCCTGAGGACTTGCTCTGTGAATCGCCCACGGGGAAACTTGGGTCCACAGATTTTACTGCATGCCCCTCCTCCATAAAATCAGTGCGGATAGGATGCAAATAAAACCTAAAGCCTAGATTGTTGTTTAAAATCCTAACAAAATGCATATGGGACTTTCCAGCAACAAGAACAAAAAGACAATCAAACAGCAGGAGTTGGAAGTTGAAGCTGCCAGAGGTGAGAATCACCGATCTGAGAATAGTATACAATCCAGTAAAAAGCTTCAGGTGCCACTTGGCTGCCTACCTTCTCCCCAGGGCTGCCCCCCGCCCCCGCCACCGCGAGACCCCACCCGACTGCCCATTGGGGTTTACATAGAGCACTTTACATAAAAGGAGCACATCCCTACCATGAAGGCAAACAACCATTTTCTCGTGGATGCCGTTTCCTTTCTTCCTGCACACCCCGGATGTTCTCAGCTGACTAGGGGCCTGTGTAGGGTGGGGACCGCTGGGTGGTACTGTTCCTTCCCCCAGTCCTGGGCACCACAGCAGGCCATGCATCCTGCTCCAGCTCCTGCAGAGCCACTGTCCCATTTTCAATACTAGGATTCCAGCTCAGTGTCTCCAGCCAGGCACTGCCCAGAGGAAAGAGGAAGACAGGTAGGTGGGGAGTGGACAGAGCAGGGGGGACACACACGGTCTCTCCGTGAGCAGACTTTCTTCTTTGAGGGATGATGTTCCCTTTGCTGAGGGCTTTTTGGGGAGACAGTCCTCAAAAGGTGATCACGAGCACAGTCTCCATGTGCCAAGGTTTCTAGGGGTTGGGACCAGCCCTCACATGGAGTCCCCGTCGCACATCATAAACTGGTATGACAATAAAAAGTTGTCCATGGCATGCTGCCAAAGAAAAAATTCCAGCAAGGCCAAGCTGCCACACCCTTCACCCTCCAAACCCTCAGGATCGCACGCGCCCCCTCCCAGAGGCTCGGTGGAAGCACACAGCCGCAGGTGGGGTCCAAACCACCTGCTTCCTGTCTCGCCCTTCACCCCACTCCGCCTCTGACCACACCAGTTTCTAGCAACAGGATCCCCCATCAGACTCGGAACACTGCTCTGTGTGGCAGAGATGGCTTTCCCTCATTATCGATTCTCTCCTTGGATCTTTGGTCTCCACCCCAGGGAAATTTGGGCAGGGAGCATGGCTCCCAGGGCGAGGACGCAACTCCGGTGACAGTGCAGCGAGGAGGGGCCACGAAGCTGCACTCACTCCGGTCAGCGGGATGAGTGAACCCTCCGCACGACTTCTGGGTTACGTCAGCCCAAGGGAGAGCGGGGGTCCGGCCCCCCACAGGAGGCCTAGCGCGCGCGGCGGTGCCAAGCCAGCCCCAGCTCGTGAACAACGCAAGGCGGAGGGCAAACCCAGCGTCCTCAAATCTACATTCAACGCCCCGCAATGACCGGCGTTCTTCAGTGGAGGGATGTCTGAAATCCGATGCCCCCGCCCTTCCCAGGCTCCCTTCTGAAACTCTGCGGCTGAGCTTAGCTTTCTTCGACCCCCTGGTAGAGTTCATTGGACCCCTACGGGAGCTGAGTCCTCAGGGTCCATAGTGCACAAGTGCCCTTCCCGTGCCTACACTGGGCCGGGCACGACCCTCCCAGCTGCATGTCACCCGGCTCTGCAGCCGACTTCCCAGACGTGGGCGTCGTCCAGGGGATGAGGGGGTGTCCGGCCCCGGGACTGGGGGCGTCGGCCTGGGGATGGGGGGTGTCGGCCCGGGGATGGGGGCGCGCGGCCGACGCCCCTGGGCTGCAGGAGGGGCCATTGTCGGTGGCCGCGCCGTGACTTGGGCCCGAAGCCGATTCCGGGGACGAGAGACAGTAAGACCAGAGGAGCCCGTGGCTTATCTGCCAGAGGAGCGGCAGAGCAGACGTGTGGCCTTCACACAAAAGCGCTGGCTCCAAAGGGCCGTGGGGGGCGCGGACGGCAAAGGGGGCGCTCACCCAGTCTCCCAAAGGGCAGCCGGTTCCGCTCCCCTAGCATCAGATTGAACCTGGGGTTGTCCCGCCGCAGTCTCTTCCAGTGACCGGAGGCGACCAGCAGCCGGGAGACCTCGGCGTAGACGCTGCTGTTCTCGTCGCGAACCACGAAGGTGAACATGGCTAGGCAGCTGGCCCAGGGAGGGGGCACCAGCGGCTCCGCGTGGAACCTGCGGGCGCGGCGCACAGGCCCGGGTCC